CAAATCTTCACAGCGGTCACTCAAGATGAACCATGTGGATGTCTCCAAGACACCCACCGTAAGTCCCCTAGGGATTCCTCTCCATCGTTAAGAGATTACCTTAGCCAATGGCTGGCCACAGAAGGTAGAGACAGACCTCCACGGGCAGGAACTGTCCCGGTACAGCCACTATTGGATGTTGGAGTGGCTCCCAGTGAGGAAAGGACGGAGCAAAAGAGTAGTTGGTAGGAACAACAATGATAATAAACTCTGATCAAAACATCATTATAATACCACTAACACAGGCTCAGGTCTTAGAGTATCTAACTTTAAAAAGGCTCAGGACCTGTTTAATAAAAATCGGTGCGGGTTTGTCCGGGACATCCTGGTAGGCCAACCCCTCGCAGACATAGGAACAGAACTACCACTGCTCAACGAGGCGATATTTAAGTCCCCCTCTCCGCCTGACGACGAACTCATATCTGACCAGCACCCGTTAGTCGATACCTTGGCCCCATTCAGGCCTGAGGAGATCAAAGCCGCGAAATGCAAGAGCAGGAGACGCGGCGGTTGAGCATGGGAACCAAATTTTCCTTTGACAAAAGCCGCCTAACTACCACGCCCTAATTCAGTTCTTATCTAACAGCAATCTACTAATCGATTTTTATTTGTTTTTTAATTATCTTTTCCCGGCCACCTGTCATGTCAGGTGTCGTGTCATGCTGTCATCCATTTGTCACTCGCCTTGACGTCACGTGTCATGACGTCACTAGCCAACTGGTGCTAACCTAACCTTACTCGACCTTGTTGCCAGCCTGCTATATCTGCCCCTAGATGGAGTCACTTATTAATTAATTTATTAATCTGCAACTTACTATACATCATTATACAATATCACAGCAACTCAACATACACCATTATTAATTTTATTAATTAAATAAAAAAATCTGACTACGCGGGGATCGATCCACCGACCCAGAGAAGTTTGCCGATTACCAGTCGGCGTCTTAGACCGCTCGGCCACGAGGACATTTAATAATCATTTACAAGATGATGTAAATAATCAACGTTATTCTACGTGAGACGTTGGATAGTTGCCATTCGCAACTTCACATGCGCAATGGCAAGTCCAAAAGGACCTAAGCGTGTATGACGTGGTCCAAATCAAACGGGACAAACGGCATTCAGCGTGAACTGTCATCTAGCTGTCATTTCCAACCAAAGAATTACCATTAAAGTCAAAAGGGCATTAACGTATATCTTCGCACGGCATTACGTAGAGAACTCGAAAACGTCGAACAAAAAAAAGCATGCGTAGAACGAAAAGCCAGAAGGGCCTTAGCGTATATCTCAGCTATCGTTGGTCCGATTTAAACGGGCAAAACGGCATTATGAAGAGAACGATTAACGTCGAACAAAAAAATCATGCACAGGTGTATACAGATGTGAAAAATGTCACCTGTAGAGATGAGGCTGAAGAGTACTGACGAGCCTCGCCTAGCCTAGCCCGTATTATAGGATTTAAAAAAAAATGTCCCCAAAGAACAATGTAATACATCCTTAACGAACCAACACCGATTGGCAATGATTAGGATAAATGTAAATGTAAACAAATGTCTGAATACGATAAAACATATTTATTAATTAGTATTGTAGTAATTAAAATTTGATATCTTAATAAAAGGTTATAGGTCAAATAAAAGATACCACAATCATTTCAAAAAAAAAAAAAAAAAAAATTGGTTTTGAGTAAGGATTATTTAAGAATAAAAAAATGTGTTTGGTGCTGTTTTTTAATTTATTAAAAAATAAAATAATTTTGTGACCGTTCAAAGGGATTTTTTAAAAAAATTACTAAAGGAGGTACACATATAATGGATTAATATGTATAACACAAATAAGTGGGTAAGTCAAATATATATTAAATAAAAAGCATTTTTTTTTTCATATATTTGTTTATTTTATTTATCAATTGTATACTAAAAAAACAATTACAGTAACTATTTATTATTATTTTAACAATCAAACTTTTAACTACATAATAAGGATTATTTTTGTCGTTTTGTATACTTAATAACACTTGAAAGTCCTTCTTGCAATTTTGGAGAATTGAGGGTTAATTTACAATGTTTTCTTTTTTTCTTACATTTAATACAAATAATGTTTACACAGCATCTGTTGTAGTTAATGATGTGTATTGGTGAATGACATTCAATACAGGTATATTCACTGTCACTCATAATGATAACAACAGACAAATAGGATTTTATAGTTTATTTAATATTAAAAATTTAAACATAAACAAAGCATTGTACTTCTTGGTTTCCAAGTTCCACAAAATTATCTCTGAAATTATCTAGACTAAAAGTGAAACCATAAATAACTATAGATTTATTTCCAATCAGTTTTTCCAAACCATATTTTCCACAGTACAATCGGTGCTATGGGATAGTAATTTTTATGGTTACCAATTACATAAGCTATAGTTTGATTTAGTGAATTTTTAATTTCAGTTCCTAAAGGTAAATTCTTCTCGTGAAAATAGAAAGCTGGATATGTGTTTAAAACTATATTGTCTTTGTTTAATTCATATAGATAGAATGTTCCATTCTCAATTGGAAATGTATAGTTTTTTACCTGGACTGTATCTAATTGACTCGTGTGAGCTAAATTTATGTAACTAAAAGTACAAACTACAGTAACTGTTGGAAAATAACTAACGTTATTCTCCGCCAGAAGATATCAATTATTTTACCCCTCTTTCCCCTACGCCGCTAGTCAGCGAATTTAAATATATTTGTTCCTCTCGCCCCTTATTACATAATTAAATGCTAAACCGAATCTAACATCATGCAACCAACATTACATTTGCGTCTGATAGGTACCAATGGTAGTTCATGACATAATTCCAACCAACCCTGGCACTTCGCGCTCATTTTCTATCTCCTCTCACATACGGTGCAATCTCGGGCATTCTAAAGACAGAAGCAGACTGAATTCAAGGTGAGAAGGGTGTGCAAGTCAATATATATGTGAGTTTTCCCGCACCTTGTGGGCGTTAGCCGGCCGGCATTCTTATTTTATCGTAAAAGTTAATAAAAACTCATTAGCTCGGGGTGTTATCACAAAAGACATTTTATAAAAGCAAGTAGCCTCACACTAAACATACTCTAGTGTTGTTTTGTGCCTGTGTCGTATCTACTACTTGTTAATTTGTTGTATAGTATTGTAATAAACTCGTATCAAAAGTGGTGTCGCAGTTTGAATACCCGAAAGCAGTAAGATCTTCATACAGTCCATTAAAAACACACCCAAATATAGGGAGAAATCAGAAAATTACCCCATATTTGCGCAGTAACAATTAAAAGTACTTTTGTCTGAAACATTTTTGTTTTAGTATTATTTTTCTTGAGTGTCTTGTAATAGTAAAGGAGAATTACTTTAATGACTTAAATAGTAACAAACAACATATTTATACTTTTTCCATTTGTTTTATGCGCATGTCTAGATTATAAATAAAAACAGAAAAATGTTTTTTTTTTTATTAAATAATTATAAATTCCAAGCAATAACCTTGTTTTTTATACAAGGTCTTGCTTGGAAACATACAGGACAAGTTGTAATGGTAGTTTTGGATTTCCAATTATTGTCAATTTTTGTTTGTTTGTTTGTTTGTTTGTCGACTAATGGTGTGTCTACAAACACCACATACTACTTCTTCTACTACACCGGCAGTGTATGTTCTGAATTTTATTCCAGACATCTAATTTTTAGGATTTGGTGGTATTGCTGTTCTTGTTGTGGTTATTGTATATTTCTTCTTATTTAAGATTCTTGCTTACGTAATATTCTTCTTTAGCAATTTTTTGTAATTCATATACAAACCAATCCAAACAATCATGACCTGTGTAAAGTCTAAATTTAGATTGATATTTATTTTCAAAATGTCATTTTAAATAATATGCAACACTAAATGCTTCATGTTTTTGATATATTTGTGTATTACTTGTTTGTACATCATCAACATAATCATTCAGTATACTTTCAATATCTGCATAAATTACAAAAGGAACAGGTTCTTTGTTTTTAAAGTTTTTAAATTTCATAATTTTGTGTGTTTCTTTAGGCATGACAACTTTAGTTTTATTAACAGTTTTACAATCTTCTAAATGTTGTTCTAAATTAAATCTACTCATGAAATGATTTAAACATATGTCACATATCCATTTTTTATGTTTAATATTACCCAATTGTCTATTAACTAAACGTGATAAATCTTTTATAAAAGCAAAATGAAAAATATTTTTATTAGTTGTATCATCATTATTTCTATCACTATCCCAATTATTTTCACAGGCGTTCATAAGCAAATTAATTCGAGGAGAGAATTCATTCTTACTAAGTGTTAATGGTAAAATTTCATATTTTCCTTTAATAATAAACACATTTATTGAAAGTTTATTAATGCTTCGAATTTTGGTATATCTTTCAAGTTTATATTGTATATTGTCATATTTTAATACTCTACTAAAATGAGGGTATGATAATGGCCTATTAGTATTAGTGTTAGCTAGATAAAGAGCACACACAACAGCCCACAAAAAACAATACGGATCATTGTTTTTAATATTGATTACACTTTTTGTATTCATAATAAAATCTGGTAACTTAACATAAGTTGATATACCAATATTAATAGGACAGTAGCTATTCATGTTAACTTTTAAATGTAAAATTTCCAATAATGCCCACCCTGAGTCCCGTTCTTAAAAGGATTCTAATTTAAATAAAACTTTGTCAATCATATACAGCTCATACCACTCTTTTAAATTAGTATTTACATCTATAATTTTATTTTTTGTAGAAAAATTTTTAATAGATCTTTCACCATTTTGAGGTTTGATGAATAATGCGAAAAAGATACAATTTGCTTTTAGTATACAAGATTTAAGTTTTTTTATTTGAAATGAAAAACTTTTAAAAGCTTTTTGTAAAAATAATTTTGAATCTTTAAATTTAAAATTTATTATTATACCTGTTTTAATTATTCTATTAAAACATGATTCTAAGTCCTGCCAAATAAGTTGTCGTTTTGAAAGTTTCTTGTTTAATTTAGATTTAAAATTTTGAAGGTACATTTTTAGTATTGATAGCTTGGATTCTATTTTTGAAAAGTTTTTTACACAGTTATTCTTTATACATTTATTTAATAAAAAAAATATGTTTTTTCAAATACCCTATGTATTTTTTAAGTTCGTTTTTTGACTTAATTATTCTACTCACCACTTCAATTTTTCGAACAAATTCTTCGGACATACAATCAATTACTTTCTGAGAACTCATCATTAATAGTGACAACTTGTTGCTTTGGTAGATTGAAAAGAATCAAACTCGTTTCCGTCAAATATTTATATACTAAAAATTGATGATTAAACACATTTTTACAACGAATGTTTCTCGAATGTTACTGTTGCCATATGCATTGTCAGCAGTTTTTACAACATTACGTAAACCCACACGCAAAATATATTGTTTGCTTTATTCTCATTAATTGGATATATAAAAACTGCTGACAATGCTTATGGCAACAGTAAAATTCGAAAAAACATTTAATGTGAATTGTGATGTTTTTTTTCAACAATTTGTGTATAAATAATCATTTCTCATACTAATCAGTATCAGCTGAATTTTGATGAAGAAGACTACTACTCTGCAATGGCTACTACACCATCCTCATTAGTGATTTTCACAGAAGATAAAATCAATTTCCCCATCAAGGTGGCGATGGTGATAATGAAGCAATTATTTCAGTGAGTATATATATTTTTTTTGTTTGATATTTATTTTCTCTTAATAATAATTTTTTTAAATATATACTTATCCTTGTTGATAATTTGTTTAAATTGAATATAATCTATTATTTTTTAATGATTTCGTTTTAATTTATTTCAGATATGGTGTACGGGATATAAGTACGAAACAAGGAAATTTTTTTATAAATTTAACATATTCTCCAAGAACTGGCACTTTAAAACGTAAATTTGGAAATTTACCAGTTCGTTATATGAGAGTTAAAATTCAAACTGATGAAGAATTTAAAATGTTGGAGAAAGTGGTTAAGAGATATAAATTTAATCTACTTGATGAACAACCAGAGGATTTGGACCGGAAGAGAATAGAAGTCTCACCTGGTCCTAGTGATGCTGGTAATAGAAAATATTATTTGGAACCACCACAGTTGTTGTGGTCTGATGGTGATGATGATTCTGAAGAGGATGTAGTGTCTCCCAAGAATAAAAAACTTAAGACGGGAGAACAAAATCAACAACAACAAGAACAAAGTTTAGAAGAAATTAATATTGAAGATGATGAGCTTACTAGTGTCACTGTTAATGACACTAGTAACATAAATCAGTATTTATCACAAAAAAATTTTTTTTTAAATAAATAAATTAATAAATAATTAACTCATCAACTCTTTTTCATCTTAATCATTTACAAATAATTGTTGTAATAATATATTATTATTTTTAATAAAAATTATTTTTTTATTAACAATAAACATCTTTATAATTTAACCATAATACTATCTCCTATATAATCCTAAACCATTAATATATTACGTTAGTATATATTCAAAAGCTGATCGAAAGAAGATTAAAACATATCAAGGCGGATCAAAGCTGATTAGGACCTGATTAAAAGCTGATCAAAACCTGATTAAAAGCTGTTCAATACCTGATTAAAAGCTGTTTAATACCTGATTAAAAGCTGATCAATAAACAGATCATTGAGATTTAAATCATGGATAAAAATTTAAAAAAGAGACTTATAATAAAACGACAAAGTGTAAAAAATAAATTAAGGTTACTTAAACGAGGTGAAGTCTTACAAGAAGATCTATTTAATCCTATAACAAAACACTTAAAAAATATTGAACATAAATTGAACAGTTCTCAAAATAATATCAAAAATGAGTTTAAAGATGACGAGGAACAATATTCAAGAGAAACTGATCAGTTTGCCAATGTTTTGTCTTTAAAGAAAAATGAAAATGATATTAAAAGCAATGATGATTTTCTATCTCCTCTCACATACGGTGCAATCTCGGGCATTCTAAAGACAGAAGCAGACTGAATTCAAGGTGAGAAGGGTGTGCAAGTCAATATATATGTGAGTTTTCCCGCACCTTGTGGGCGTTAGCCGGCCGGCATTCTTATTTTATCGTAAAAGTTAATAAAAACTCATTAGCTCGGGGTGTTATCACAAAAGACATTTTATAAAAGCAAGTAGCCTCACACTAAACATACTCTAGTGTTGTTTTGTGCCTGTGTCGTATCTACTACTTGTTAATTTGTTGTATAGTATTGTAATAAACTCGTATCAAAAGTGGTGTCGCAGTTTGAATACCCGAAAGCAGTAAGATCTTCATAGAGTCCATTAAAAACACACCCAAATATAGGGAGAAATCAGAAAATTACCCCATATTTGCGCAGTAACAATTAAAAGTACTTTTGTCTGAAACATTTTTGTTTTAGTATTATTTTTCTTGAGTGTCTTGTAATAGTAAAGGTGAATTACTTTAATGACTTAAATAGTAACAAACAACATATTTATACTTTTTCCATTTGTTTTATGCGCATGTCTAGATTATAAATAAAAACAGAAAAATGTTTTTTTTTTTATTAAATAATTATAAATTCCAAGCAATAACCTTGTTTTTTATACAAGGTCTTGCTTGGAAACATACAGGACAAGTTGTAATGGTAGTTTTGGATTTCCAATTATTGTCAATTTTTGTTTGTTTGTTTGTTTGTTTGTTTGTCGACTAATGGTGTGTCTACAAACACCACATACTACTTCTTCTACTACACCGGCAGTGTATGTTCTGAATTTTATTCCAGACATCTAATTTTTAGGATTTGGTGGTATTGCTGTTCTTGTTGTGGTTATTGTATATTTCTTCTTATTTAAGATTCTTGCTTACGTAATATTCTTCTTTAGCAATTTTTTGTAATTCATATACAAACCAATCCAAACAATCATGACCTGTGTAAAGTCTAAATTTAGATTGATATTTATTTTCAAAATGTCATTTTAAATAATATGCAACACTAAATGCTTCATGTTTTTGATATATTTGTGTATTACTTGTTTGTACATCATCAACATAATCATTCAGTATACTTTCAATATCTGCATAAATTACAAAAGGAACAGGTTCTTTGTTTTTAAAGTTTTTAAATTTCATAATTTTGTGTGTTTCTTTAGGCATGACAACTTTAGTTTTATTAACAGTTTTACAATCTTCTAAATGTTGTTCTAAATTAAATCTACTCATGAAATGATTTAAACATATGTCACATATCCATTTTTTATGTTTAATATTACCCAATTGTCTATTAACTAAACGTGATAAATCTTTTATAAAAGCAAAATGAAAAATATTTTTATTAGTTGTATCATCATTATTTCTATCACTATCCCAATTATTTTCACAAGCGTTCATAAGCAAATTAATTCGAGGAGAGAATTCATTCTTACTAAGTGTTAATGGTAAAATTTCATATTTTCCTTTAATAATAAACACATTTATTGAAAGTTTATTAATGCTTCGAATTTTGGTATATCTTTCAAGTTTATATTGTATATTGTCATATTTTAATACTCTACTAAAATGAGGGTATGATAATGGCCTATTAGTATTAGTGTTAGCTAGATAAAGAGCACACACAACAGCCCACAAAAAACAATACGGATCATTGTTTTTAATATTGATTACACTTTTTGTATTCATAATAAAATCTGGTAACTTAACATAAGTTGATATACCAATATTAATAGGACAGTAGCTATTCATGTTAACTTTTAAATGTAAAATTTCCAATAATGCCCACCCTGAGTCCCGTTCTTAAAAGGATTCTAATTTAAATAAAACTTTGTCAATCATATACAGCTCATACCACTCTTTTAAATTAGTATTTACATCTATAATTTTATTTTTTGTAGAAAAATTTTTAATAGATCTTTCACCATTTTGAGGTTTGATGAATAATGCGAAAAAGATACAATTTGCTTTTAGTATACAAGATTTAAGTTTTTTTATTTGAAATGAAAAACTTTTAAAAGCTTTTTGTAAAAATAATTTTGAATCTTTAAATTTAAAATTTATTATTATACCTGTTTTAATTATTCTATTAAAACATGATTCTAAGTCCTGCCAAATAAGTTGTCGTTTTGAAAGTTTCTTGTTTAATTTAGATTTAAAATTTTGAAGGTACATTTTTAGTATTGATAGCTTGGATTCTATTTTTGAAAAGTTTTTTACACAGTTATTCTTTATACATTTATTTAATAAAAAAAATATGTTTTTTCAAATACCCTATGTATTTTTTAAGTTCGTTTTTTGACTTAATTATTCTACTCACCACTTCAATTTTTCGAACAAATTCTTCGGACATACAATCAATTACTTTCTGAGAACTCATCATTAATAGTGACAACTTGTTGCTTTGGTAGATTGAAAAGAATCAAACTCGTTTCCGTCAAATATTTATATACTAAAAATTGATGATTAAACACATTTTTACAACGAATGTTTCTCGAATGTTACTGTTGCCATATGCATTGTCAGCAGTTTTTACAACATTACGTAAACCCACACGCAAAATATATTGTTTGCTTTATTCTCATTAATTGGATATATAAAAACTGCTGACAATGCTTATGGCAACAGTAAAATTCGAAAAAACATTTAATGTGAATTGTGATGTTTTTTTTCAACAATTTGTGTATAAATAATCATTTCTCATACTAATCAGTATCAGCTGAATTTTGATGAAGAAGACTACTACTCTGCAATGGCTACTACACCATCCTCATTAGTGATTTTCACAGAAGATAAAATCAATTTCCCCATCAAGGTGGCGATGGTGATAATGAAGCAATTATTTCAGTGAGTATATATATTTTTTTTGTTTGATATTTATTTTCTCTTAATAATAATTTTTTTAAATATATACTTATCCTTGTTGATAATTTGTTTAAATTGAATATAATCTATTATTTTTTAATGATTTCGTTTTAATTTATTTCAGATATGGTGTACGGGATATAAGTACGAAACAAGGAAATTTTTTTATAAATTTAACATATTCTCCAAGAACTGGCACTTTAAAACGTAAATTTGGAAATTTACCAGTTCGTTATATGAGAGTTAAAATTCAAACTGATGAAGAATTTAAAATGTTGGAGAAAGTGGTTAAGAGATATAAATTTAATCTACTTGATGAACAACCAGAGGATTTGGACCGGAAGAGAATAGAAGTCTCACCTGGTCCTAGTGATGCTGGTAATAGAAAATATTATTTGGAACCACCACAGTTGTTGTGGTCTGATGGTGATGATGATTCTGAAGAGGATGTAGTGTCTCCCAAGAATAAAAAACTTAAGACGGGAGAACAAAATCAACAACAACAAGAACAAAGTTTAGAAGAAATTAATATTGAAGATGATGAGCTTACTAGTGTCACTGTTAATGACACTAGTAACATAAATCAGTATTTATCACAAAAAAATTTTTTTTTAAATAAATAAATTAATAAATAATTAACTCATCAACTCTTTTTCATCTTAATCATTTACAAATCATTGTTGTAATAATATATTATTATTTTTAATAAAAATTATTTTTTTATTAACAATAAACATCTTTATAATTTAACCATAATACTATCTCCTATATAATCCTAAACCATTAATATATTACGTTAGTATATATTCAAAAGCTGATCGAAAGAAGATTAAAACATATCAAGGCGGATCAAAGCTGATTAGGACCTGATTAAAAGCTGATCAAAACCTGATTAAAAGCTGTTCAATACCTGATTAAAAGCTGTTTAATACCTGATTAAAAGCTGATCAATAAACAGATCATTGAGATTTAAATCATGGATAAAAATTTAAAAAAGAGACTTATAATAAAACGACAAAGTGTAAAAAATAAATTAAGGTTACTTAAACGAGGTGAAGTCTTACAAGAAGATCTATTTAATCCTATAACAAAACACTTAAAAAATATTGAACATAAATTGAACAGTTCTCAAAATAATATCAAAAATGAGTTTAAAGATGACGAGGAACAATATTCAAGAGAAACTGATCAGTTTGCCAATGTTTTGTCTTTAAAGAAAAATGAAAATGATATTAAAAGCAATGATGATGATGATGATTATTATTATGATGATGATGATCTAAATGGTGAATTACATAAATCAAATTTGGAAAATATAATGTCTGAAACAGTTTCTAATAATGATCCTCAAACTTCAGAGGACTTACGATTTGAAGATGCCTCTCAACATTTTATTGAAGATTATCATCTAGAACAATATGATCCATTACCTAGAAAATATATTGATGAAATGTATCGTGATATAGATAACAAAGAATTTGATTATAAATACGGAATTCGATTTGATAGTTCTACTAAAAAATTAATGATTGGTGATTCACAAGTATTCATCAATGATTCTAACGTAATTGTAAAAAATAAAAAATACAAGGGAACTCAAGGTTTATACGAGTTGTTATTTAAAAAACATCCTAAGAACCAAACAAGATGAAGAAAATTATTTAAAAATTGTCCATTTTATAATGAACAGTTACAAAAAGTTAAATATCCAGATGTATATCTTGTGGAAAGGATTTTAAAAAGAAAAGGAAATAAAGTTTTTGTAAAATGGCTTGGTTTTGATAACACCCACAATAGTTGGATTGATAAAAAAAATGTATTGTAATGGAGGGGGGAAGGCTTTAAATATAAAAGAAGAACAGATAATTTGTATTTAATTGTATAAAAGTATTTAAACAATTTTAAATATGTTTATCATTGATGTACAAGGGTTTTCATTTCCTGAAGAAAATGTATTTTTATGTAGAGAAATTACAATTTTTAATATTGAAAATAAGGATTATGTACATAAATTTGTGAAGCTACCGTTTACAAGAAAAATGATGTGTTCAACAGTATTGAATCATATTAATTTCACTACTAACAATATACATGGTTTGGAATGGGATTCTTGGAACCAAGAGGATGAACTCAATTACGAAGAAATATCCAAATTTATCCAAAGTTATGTGTTAGATGAAAGTATTTTCGTGGCAAATGCAAATATAGAAAAATATTTAGGAAACTTTATTTTTAATAAAATAATTGTATTGGAAAATTATCTAGAAATGTTATCGTATGACGATTGTAAAGTCATATTTAAATCTCGTCAATGTAACAACCACATTCCAAGTAGAAATATTATATGTGCGTTAGAAAATATTTATTTTCTCTATTATTGGTATGAATATTGTAACAATAGAAAAATAAATAAAGACTAAATATGTTTATGTACGTGTTTTATTAAATATACAATATCCTAATATATATATATATATATATATACAGTATGGTTCAAATGAAAGGAATAAATTCATTATAATGGAAGTAGCTGGTTTTTAGAAAAAATGCTCGGACAGGTCAATTTTGTTTACTTAAAGCGCAATTTTTTAAATAAAATTCAATTTTCCCCCACTTCCCATTTTTGGGCAGTGACGTCATTGACAATTTTTTTAAATAGCAACCCCAATTTTTTTTCTTGATTTTTGGTAGATCTTGGAATTTCCTACTCGGAAACATAATATTTGAAATATCTGACATAACAATTTTTTTTGAAAAAAAGTCATTTCAAGATCAGATACATAAATTTTATGTTATTTTGAGAAACAATAAATTAATAACAGATAATTATTTGTAATTAAATGCTTAATCTAACAAAATAATAATAATAAAAAGAATTTGTGAAATTGTCATTAAATTCGTTTTATTATTATTATTTTTTTAAATTAAGCACTTAATTACAAATAATTATCTTTTATTAATTTATTGTGTTTCAAAATAACATAAAATTTATGTATCTGATCTTGAAATGACTTTTTTTCAAAAAAAATTGTTGTCAGATATTTCAAATATTAAGTTTCCAAGTAGGAAATTGCAAGATCTATCAAAATCAAGAAAAAAAAATTGGGGTTGCTATTTAAAAAAATTGTCAATGACGTCACTGCCCAAAAATAGGAAGTGGGGGAAAATTGAATTTTATTTAAAAAATTGCGCTTTAAGTAAACAAAATTGACCTGTTCGAGCATTTTTTCGAAAAACCAACTACTTCCATTATAATGAATTTATTCCTTTCATTTAAACCATACTGTATATATATATATATATATATATATATATATATATATATATATATATATATATTGATATGGATTTAATCCCGACTAGCCAGAGCACCTGGAAAAATTTCTCCAGAAGGTGTGTTTCTTTTATCTAAAAAAAATTGTCCAATCAATTAATAAATTTTATACACAATTAATTTTTCCGAACAGCTATTGACGAATTGCAACTCTTCACAACCCCCTTCTTTCTGAAATAGTAATATTCGTCAGCTTCTCTGCTTTCTCCCCTTTACCTCTGGTTTGTGTCACGCTACTGTCTGTTAATTTCAATAAACTTATAGTGTCAAAATATTGTCTTAATGTCACTTAGACTTTCCAAAATACCTCTATTTAATCAATGAATAAATTACTTATCTTTTCTTTTCTTCCTCTTTGGATATCACCAACCGCTGTGCTCGTATCTTGGAACTACCTCTGTATCCCAACGAAATGATACTCCATTTACAAATATGTGTGTTTATTTCCAGAATGAATACATCAGATTCTGGACTTTGTAATTTTTTTCTTTTTAAATTCAGTGGTTCCTCTTTATATAAAGAGAAAAACCAATTTTCAAAAAAAATAATCAATCCAAGAGGATCAACTCTCAATACCTCACCCTTCGGTCGTTCCCCTCTGACAATCAATAAAAAAAAATCACAATTCCATAACAACATAACAAAAAAAAAACATTTTTTTTTTATTTTCTAATCAATACGTCATAACTACACCTTGACATACACTGGGCGATATCTTTCCTGATCCCCATGACCAATCAGGAAACCACATCAAATCCCCCAAATTATTATATGCACAGATGTAAATCCAACATCCTGTACATATAAAAATTTTAACTTTTAAACAAATTCATTACCTCCAAACCTAATGTTTATCACATATTGGCCATTTGGTTAACATATTTCCTACATCAAATATCTACCTATGAACTATTAAACTACTAACTCATATAAATACAAATCCTGTATATTAAAAATACCACGAATTTTTTTACTATCTCTATACTTCAGAATATAGCTATTCTCCCCCTTTTCGTTATCTACAATATACGGGCCCTCATACGGCAACTGAAGTTTCGCACATGTCTTTTGCTTTTTACTCGACACCCTTAACGCCTTAACTACCACTAAATCCCCATTAGCCTTTTTTACAACTACTAACGCACTTATAAACCTTGAATCACATTTCTCTATTATGCCTTCTTTTAACAACTTCTCTAATTCCTTATTCACATCTTTCCGATACTGATATGGAATCGGATATGTCTTCACTTTAAAATTTTCAATCCCTTTTACCTTAAACCTATGAACATAATTATGAGCTACCCTCATTTCCTTCATCACTAAACCCTTGTATTTGTTTATTAATTCCTTAACATTTTCCTGATATTTCTCCTCACAGACAAACGATGTATCAACTACCTCCTCGTTTCTTATCTCTTGTACATTGACCTGTGTAACAAATCCTATCTTCCTCTCTGCCTTCTCTTCTAAATCAAAAGATATCCTATCGTTTTGAATCCCTAATTCCCTGTTTTCATAATCCACCACTACTTCATATTTATGTAAAATATCCGCTCCTATCACCAGCTCATATTTCAGGTTTTCTACAACTAATAATTGACTTTCTAATTTTGTTCTTTGCCCTAACTCAATATTTGCAATGATCGTTCTCCCTACTTTATACAATTTTTTTCCATTTGCCCCTACTAACTGGATTTTTGGTATCTTTATCAGAGATTTATCATCATTCCCCATTAACTTTTTATTCAGTAATGACGCTTCTGATCCTGTATCAATTAAGATCTTTACATTTCTTTCATTTAATCTACCTTTCACAAATATTAACCCCGTTGACTCCTCTATAATACTTTCACAATTTTCCCCCACTTTTATGAACTCTCTTGGATGTTCATATCTACAAATGTTTACTTTTAATTTTGCTCCCCGTTCCCTAAAAAATATTCTTCCCCCCTTTGATCTTGAAGATCATTGTCCTCTATTTCTTTCCTCTACACCTGTCACTTGTATACTATTCATTCTTACATTCTTTTCTCTAGGATTATTTCTCCATTGACTTCCAGAGGTCCTATCCCTATCTCCTCTTTCTTGATAATTCGTTGACCTACCCATTTCATTTCTATAATCCCCCCTATTTCTGTAATTTCGATTATAATAGCCCTGACCAGGTGTAAACCTATTCTGATTCTCTACTAACTCATTATATTCTATTCCACGCCTCTCTACACGTCCACTATACCAATTTCTTTCCCATAAATTATTTCCTAAACCTTGTTCTATTCGCGACAAATATTTATTCAACATATTCATGTCCTTAATATTCTGTAAAATAATTGTTTCTGTGATCTCAAATTTAAAATGTCTCGCAATATATCGGATAATTTCTTCCTCTCTCATGGGAGGATCTAAATACTGTGCAATGTTAAATAATTGCAAAGCATACTGACTATACTTCATATTTTTTTTATCATCAAACTTTCCAAAATATAAATTCTCCCTAACATTTGATTGAACCACTTCCCCCCAATAACACTCTAAGAAACTCTTTTCAAAATCCTCATATGTTCTAAATTCTCTCTCCCTACTAGAAAACCATACTACTACATCTTTATCTATTGCTTCCCTGATGTATTCCTTTATGTCATCGATACTCTTCAGATTTCGTATTTTATTTTTAACTATCTTGACAAAAACCTTAGGATGAATTTTAAATATATTTCCGTCAAACCTATTTTCCATTTTTCCCACTTGAACACAACCTATACTCCTATCACCTATATCTTTTATTACTTGTACCCTGTCTTCTATTCCCTTAACTATTTCATCCACTCTCTTATTATTCAGATCTACCATTTCCTGTACCTCTACTAACTTCCCATTAACCTCTATTCCCACAAATTTTTTTATCTTATCATCCTGCACAGTTTCTATCTCATCTATCCTACTTATTACTTCTTCTCTAATATCTTTCTTATTCTGTTCCAACTTCCTATCTGTTTCTACTTTTATCGATTCTATCTCTTGTCTTAGTTCAGTCTTAGTATCATCTAATCTTTTACCAATGTCCTCAACCTTATTACTAACCTTACTAACCTCTACTACTAACATATCCATCTTTATCCCTAACTCTTCCCTATCTTTTTTATACTTTTCCTCCTTTTCCTCAAACTTATGCATGATCTTTTCCATATCTTCCCTAGCCTTTTCCTCCTTTTCCTCAAACCTACTCATCATCATAGCAAACATACTCATAATTGTATCCTCTTTCTCAATTGACTCCTCTCTCTGCGCTTTTCCCACTATTACCTCTTCAACAATTTCAATATCCTCTCCAGCACCTACTTTTTTCCCATCTCTAAGATCCATGATATTCTATATACCCCCTGGAACTATAAAGATGACATATAGTCACAAAGTCACAATTTCTAAATTATACCCCTTTGATCCTGATGCTAACTACCAACTGTCTAAATACCCAAATGGCAAATATGTTTCAACAAAAAGGTCAAAAAAAAAAAATCTTACCAAATAATATAACACTCTATGCTCTATGTACAGAATGTTGCCTCTACACCTTTGCACTCGGATGTGCCCTCCACGTTGGGCGCAACTGATATGGATTTAATCCCCGACTAGCCAGAGCACCTGGAAAAATTTCTCCAGAAGGTGTGTTTTTTTTATCTAAAAAAAAATTGTCCAATCAATTAATAAATTTTATACACAATTAATTTTTCCGAACAGCTATTGACGAATTGCAACTCTTCACAACCCCCTTCTTTCTGAAATAGTAATATTCGTCAGCTTCTCTGCTTTCTCCCCTTTACCTCTGGTTTGTGTCACGCTACTGTCTGTTAATTTCAATAAACTTATAGTGTCAAAATATTGTCTTAATGTCACTTAGACTTTCCAAAATACCTCTATTTAATCAATGAATAAATTACTTATCTTTTCTTTTCTTCCTCTTTGGATATCACCAACCGCTGTGCTCGTATCTTGGAACTACCTCTGTATCCCAACGAAATGATACTCCATTTACAAATATGTGTGTTTATTTCCAGAATGAATACATCAGATTATGGACTTTGT